CCATCAACAGCATAGCATGTTTGGCAACACAAAATGGCAATTCTTATACAGTGTAAAAGTGTTCTCTCTTTGGTTCCCATTTTTCTTGGACAATGTACCCAATCGAGATTAGATGTTAGTAACCATTCTTTAACTTGTAGTCAACTAGGGACATTTTGAAACACTCCCCCTTCTGCTTAGGATTTTAGATGTCATGACATTTGTTTATGGTTTGAATCATAGCAACAGCCATTTATGAATAATATGGTTTTGGACTATAAAAGGTGTACACAAACCCCAGAGGGGGTTGAAGTGTGTAGACTTGCAGCCTGACCCTTGGCCTGCCAGCTAGTGGATCCAGACCACTGGCTGGTGAATAAAGGTTCAGTCTCCTGCTTTAAGATCAATTCAGTGATTTATTGCAATCTCACCTTAACACTTTGGAGGCCCTAGGAAAATGATCACCTCAGTCAAAGCTGTGGCTCTCAGGCATACCTGAGTCCTAAATCCTCTGAAGCAGACAGAGCTCCCGCCCTCTCTAGTTGTGAGAGCTCTCTGCTTTGTGAGGGTCTGGATCTCCTGTGGTGACCCATTTGAGCCTGCCCATGAAAGCTCTGGTGTGGCCCACATCTGTAAATCCAGAGGCTTTGAAGGAGGATGGAACTGCATGTGTTGGGAACTACCTCATTTCTTCTCTCCCTTTGACTTGATTGTAATTGCTTAGACGTTCTGAGCACCTGATTGTCAGGGGCTCTGCTTTGGGGGTTTATCAATCCACTTGACTGTATCAAGTGCTTGACTGTAATGCCCAAGGTGATCTTGAGCCTGAAGAGGTCTTAGTCAAGGCCCAGAGAACTCTGCTAAATACACCGTGAGGGCAGCCTGAAGATTGGGGTCCAGTCGAAGAAGGAGATAATGTCTGTCCTGTATTTTTGACTTGTCTTGGTTGTTATTTGTTTTTGTTTGTCCCCTTTTTGGTTTGTGTTAATTTCTACCTCAGTTTGCTTTCAGTTTGTTTCTAAGATTATTTTAAGTGTTTGCCCTAGAGAGACACTTTCCTTTTATTTTTACAGACCTGACCCATCAGTGACTTGCCACCACCTTCAGACTTGAGTCACACTCAGTGCCTTGTTAAATTCTTGTCTCTCACCTTCCTTTTATTTCTTTTTTTAAAATTTTTTAATATTCATTTTTTTAGTTGTAGTTGGACACAGTACCTTTATTTAATTAATTAATTTATTTATTATGTGGTTCTAAGGATCAAACTCAGGGCCTCCCAGGTGTTGGGTGAGGGCTCTACCACTGATCCACAACCCCAGCCCTAATTGTTAGCCTTAAACCTAATCCAAACCAACCTGGAAAAAAATGGTTAAAAAGGTTTTAATTGTGCTCTGGAAAGCTTGCATTGAAATGTAAATGGCTGTCAATAGGTGTCCAAAGTAAAAGCTAAAGGTAAAAAAAAGCCTTCTAGAAATTGCTTTCATTTAGGAACTGGGCCAGGTGGCCAGCACAGTAGACAATATCAGTTCCTATAGAGGGCAGATTAGAATTAGAGTTTTATAGGATTATCATTTCTAAGGTATGTAAAAGCATCATTTTGTCTAGGAAATTTGGCTTTTGTCTCTCAATCAGTCCCAGATATTCGCAGAAAACTTCAAAAATAAAAGGGTTTTCAGAATAACTTCCAACTATTGGAGGTGACCCAAAAGTTTTTTAACTGTTGACAGTGTAGCTGATAAATTTTTTTCAGAATTCCAGGCTAAGATTTTGGTGGCCACCATCCAAGAGACCAGAAAAACCGGTTTAGAACAGGACCCCAACTGAGGGGGTTCTCCTTAGGAGACCAATGAAAGCAGGCTCCCTTGCTATCTTCTGAAATTCCTTCAGGGAGGGATAGGGCACTGGCCTTTGTCACTTAACAATTTTCACTTCCCATGAGAGGGACCACATCAGGATGGAGACCAGGAAGGCTTTTAAAGTCTATATTTTTTAAGTTCATAATTTTAATCTGCCACACCTAGATTAATATGTTTTTTCTGATCAGACTTATTTTATCCAACTATGAAGGTTTCTTTTACATTCTGATTCATTCACAGGCCAATTTACAAGGGTTAGCTCTCAATCTAATAGGTTTTGAAAAATAAGCTATGGATGTCTTTGTTTTGTGTATGTATGTACATTGGTGTATTGTCATGACTACATGTGTTTGGTACCAAAATTGACATATAAACTCATAAATTAAAATTAAAAATTTAAAGAAAAGGGAACCAAAAAGAGAACAATTTTACATTGTATAAGAATTGCCATTTTGTGTTGCCAGACATGCTATGCTAAGCAATTATTGATGGGTACAGAGGAGGGAAGTTCTCATGGGAGAAGCATTTATTACATGATGTGGAGTCTCAGGGTAAAATGGAATCTGTTTGGTCATTGCCCATTATAGCCTGGTCCATAACAATTAAATGTACCATATTTGTGACCTCCATCCTTCCCAGTCCTTAACAAAGGCGAATTAGCAGGAGGAAAATCAACTCTGTTGAGTCTGATTTTAGAAATGAATGATATTTTCTGAGAGGAAATTCATGGCTATGTTTATTGGGTTAAATAACAGGAACTTCAACCTCAGGTAGATGGAATTGAGCACAGATGAAATAAAATTGTCAAGAGTCAACTAAGAGGGATGCAATTAAGTAAAAAAAAAAAATCTGGTTCAGGTGGACATAGAGGGTTCTTTGTTAAAATTAGGAAAAGAAGGAAGGTGGGAGAGAGGAGGGGGGAGGAAAGGGAAGCAGGGAGAAAATTAATGAATCTTATTCTTTCCTCAAATTACTTATGACTGTTGATTATATGTCTTTGATAGTAGTAAAAATAAAAACTGGTGATTTTAGTGAAAAGTCAAACTGAAAACTGCATCACGATGAAAACTAAAATTTCTTTTTGCCAACTTTTTTCAGTTGGGTTTTATTGGCTTGGCATCATGTGGACCTAATAACCCCCTATGTTAAACCGTACCCACTCAACATTCTCTTTTTTTCCTCCCTACTTCCCTCTTCCCCACTCTTCACCTCTCTCTTGCTTTCCTTCCTACCTTCCTTCGGTTCCTATATTGACCACAGAAACCTGTGTCCTCCTGGACCCTGTGCTTTATGAAGGCTTGACTTCCTTCCTGTGCTAGAAGCAGACATTGCTAGGTTGCCCAGGGTTCTTTTTCCAGGCCTGTCCTTAGTCTCCATTCCATTTAATCCCCACTAGAAGCCATTACCAATGAGTGGGAGTTGTCATTATTCTCCAGGAAACCTGGCCAGAAAACCATGATCCGCATTCCCTTCTAACAGTGTTCGTGACCATCACAACACCTGGGGCAGCCAGGGCCTCAGCTGGACCCCTGACTCAGCCTCTCTGGAGGAATGGCTGGGAATCTTTCTTCAGTTCAGCTGTGCTTAAGGATAGTATTTCTCCTGAATTATGTTTTGGAGGCACACAAGTGTACTCATAAATATCTTCCCATTGCTTCCCTTGCAAAATCTCTCCTACCCAGGAGATTTAGTGCACATTGTTTCTCTTCCAAAATATTAGCCTTATCTATGTAGATATTCCAAGTGTGCCCTGGATGTTGTAAGTAAGGGTCAAGGTAATAAGGTTAGAGAAAACATTTAATGATATAGAGAAGGATATAAAGAGTTTCACTATAGATGTATAAAACTTGGTACCTGGTAACAGTGTTTAAAATTAAGTAAACAAACACAAGTCCCACATCTGTATTCAAATTTATCCTAATGTATTTACCTGCCATCGGAATTGAGCACAGATGAAATAAAATTGTCAAGAGTCAACTAAGAGAGATGCAATTAAGTAAAAAAAAAAAAAAAAAAAAAAAAAAATCTGGTTCAGGTGGACAAAGAAGGTTCTGTGTTAAAATTAGGAACAGAAGGAAGAAAGATAGGAGAGAGGAGTGGGAGGAAAGGAAAGCAGGGAGAAAATACTATATCTTATTCTTCCCTCAAATTACTTATTTAGAATCAGTTTGATAAAAGTTCTAATAGGATCCAGCTACAAATGAAGTCATGCAAATAAATGAAAAAGATCATCACTGAAAAAGATCACTTTTTATTTATGGTTTAGAAGTAGGAAGCAGCACATGCATATTTTATCTAGATTTGAGCCCCTAGCTATTTATGAATTTGCCTAAATGATGACTTGGGAAGACTTGGGAAGGTGTTTTTTTTTTAATACTTAAAATAATCTAGCTTCCCAAGTCTTTTTATCTTTATTGAAAACATGAGTCACATTCCACTAAATGTGAAACATAGAGCAGTTTGTTTTAAATTGCTATGCGTTATTAGTATGCTAATTGTATGTTCCACTTTGTGCATGCTCAGTCATCACTTTCCGGATTCAATAAACTGTGTCTTAATTGCTGAGGACCATACAGGAAACATTTTACAAAGTGCTCTGGTAATGTTGCTTATTTCACTAGATAAATGATTAAAACTAAAACGCAAAGTCTTTTCCAGGTATCAAACACTGCATTTGTGTTTGTGGTAACTATGCTGGTTTTTAAGTGGGCTTCCCCACAACCCATATCATTGAGGCTGTCTCTCTATCAATTGGAGGTCATTTCTTTTTCTTGTCGTTTCACTTATGTATTTATTTTTTGATTAGTGCTTCATACATATGCATAAATATGGAATTCACTCTAGTATGTTTATATATAAACGTAGCATGATTTTGTTAAGTTCATTTTGCATTTTCTCCCCTTTCCTGTCCCTTCTCCCAATTGGAGGTAATTTTTACAATTCCTTCTCATGAGAAAAGAGGTTATTGTTCTCTTGCTTGAGAGACAATATGTTAGCACAGAGTTGACTCACATTTACCCCCAAACTATGCACTGATTTTAAGATGAGAGAAGCAGTTGAAGGGAAAACATTGGGAATGAGTGTCTACATTTATTGTCTCCGCTCTTGTACAATAACATTGTTTTTAAGACAACTAATGGAAAAACTCCTGTTCAAATGCTCTAGGTAGCCCTCATGGAGAACCTTGTGGAAAGACTTGTTTGGAAGAGAGAGATAATCAGTGGTTGGGTGTCACACTTTCCAGACAACCAGGAGAGAATGGATCCATTGTGGTAGGTATTGAAATTGGCCCACTGATCAATTCTAAAATCAGATATCATGGATGCAATTTTCACATAATTTGTTCTACTTTTATTTTATCAGGCTTGTGGGCATAGATGGAAAAATGTATTTTACATCAGGAATGAAAATAAGCTCCCTACTGGTATTTGCTATGGAATGCCTTCTAATTTACGAACAGAACTGAGTAAGAGAATGGCTCCATGTTACCAAGGTAAGGCATAATTTTGATATCAACTAGATCAAGAGAAATAAGTGAGCAATTTTTTTTTTTTTAATTTTCAGATTTGGAAGTTTAGCAAGGAAGATGGAAGTCTCTGAATTATTTGTTGTATTTTAAACTGTTCAAAGTATTCCTTTACTTTATCCAATAAAAGGTAGCATTAGTCTTCACAATTGCATTTCTTGATTTTAGAAAAAGAAATTCTACAGTTCAATTTGAGAAATGATGGAAGCTAGTTTGTAATTACCCACTTTTGCACTAAATTTATTTTTAATTCATTATAAGTGAGTATGATGCCCAGCAAATATTGAATACTTTAAATTATAAAATTGCATTTTAAAAATCTGGTTGGAAAAAAAGAGTAGTTTCTTGCTTTACCTCTAGCTTCCAGCAGTAATCAAAAGGATCCAAAGCATAAGTGTAAGCATTTCCTTCTCATTCACCATTTCTTTTTTCCCCTCCAGTTCATATGTATTCCTTGAACAGCAGGAGAAAGATCTTAAGTGTGAAAGATCTTTCCTGTGGGATTTCTATCTTATAGGTATTTTACATACAGAACTAGAATATAACAACTGTGGAAAACAAAGTGAGGGGCAAATGTCAACAGACCATTTAAAATGGTATCTGTAGATACCTGGCTAGTTCAGTCAGTCGAGCATTAGACTCTTAAAATGTTATTTGCAACAAAACTAAAACTCTAAAAATACATCCTTACAAAACCAAGAAATACCAGGAAAAACCAAGAAATTTGAATGCCAATTTCCAATTTTTCTAACTGAATAAACAAAACCAAAAACCTAGCATCTAAAGAAAATTGGTATTAACAGGAAAAACTTAGTAGGCCAAGTACTTATTTCAGTTACTGATTCTGAAGCTATTTGAGATCTTTCCTTCCTGGAATTTGATATCATGGAGAAGTTTATATTATAAATATTTCTATTTTACCTGTGGACACAATAAAATAAAAAAGAAATATTCTCTATTATACAACTCAGTCTAAGCATCTGTAACACCTCTGTTGTCTGTTATGATTTAAAAACTTTTAAACATTTTCATGGTAGAATTTTAGTTTTGCTTAGATATATCTAGCCACATTTTACCAAAAAATTCAAGATGGCATAAACCTAAAACCATACCTAAAATTGTAGAGTACAGGATCAGGTAAGATATGAAAAGAGTGATAAAATCATAGCAGCAAAAGGTAATATAAGTGCCATAGCAGCTTCTTTAATTTTTCTGTTATCAAAACTAAAAAGAAGATGTTTCCCTGATCCTTCTTTTCATAGAGAGAGGTTCTTATGTCAGTTCTTCAGAAGAAGCAAAGCTGTGTCTCTTTCGTGAATTCTGAAAGCATTCATTCACGAGGGCTTTGTTAGCTAGACACCTTCCATCTCCCTACAGGTCTTGAATGTTTCAGCTGGGAATAATCTAGGAAACAAAGACAAAGTTGCATTAGTGAGTGAATCCAGATATCTATAATATACAGCATGAGGACTATATTTAATATAGCATAGCATGTCCTATAATTTTGCCAAGAAGAAGGATTTTGGTTGCTTTAGTCACACACACAAAAGGTCCCTATGAGGGAATGGATGTGTTGATTTGATGAAGCACCCATTTTACCATGTATGTGTATGTACATCAGAATATAATGCTCACCTTGAAATTATAAGTGGAATGTGGGCTCATTTACAATGCCTGCTTCTGCCTCAGGTACTTGCTTGACAAATTTTCTAGCATATGCTTCATCTTCTTCCCATGAAGAAGAAGTACCAAGAGATGGGTTTTTATTAACCTTTCATGGTGATATTTTAAAGGTTAATAAAAGATTGTGAGATTTTTAAATTACATTAATTACTATTAGTTTTAATGAAGTAGTATGAAATGTAGAATTTAAAAGGCATATTTGTAAGTATTTCCAAGAAAAAAATTATGGAGGGTTATATTTTTACCTTAAGATGTAATACTGAATTGTTTGTATCTCATTTTAGATTATGTGAAAAAATTTGGAGAAAATTTTGCATCATGTCAAGCTGGAATATCTAGTTTTTATACAGAGGTAATAATTCAAAAATTAACTATTATGAATGATTACTTTTGGACCTTTAATTCTTCAGAAAGTTAGAGGAATGTTAGGCTTTGAAGTAAAAATTCTGTAACATCTTAATAATGTCTCTTAAATTATATTACAACTTGACTTTTACTGCTAAATATTCATACATATTTAGATGGCTATAACACAAAAAACAATTAAGATTTGTATTAAAGAATATTATTTTCATCTAGAATTTAATGAAAATCAAAAGTAGCAAGTTATTTGTTTTATTAACTTAGGTATTGAGTATATCCATGTATTTAAGTTCTAGTTAAGGGGAAAGAAGTGTGATTCCAAGATTTTCAATTAAAATGATAATAGTTAAGAAATTTAAGAGTTTAATAATGTCCTCCTAAATCAGATATATTCCCAAACTCTTATTCTCCTTCTAAAATTTGAGGGTGTACTATGATAGGTCACAGTTATACTTCACCACTAACTCTCTCAGTTTCTTTTAAAAGTCTATTATGCGTGCATAAATGTTTTTTGACTCCATGGAGACCAGGCTGTATCAAGTTTTGGGCTAGCAATTTCTGGACATGTTAACTATTAATAAATGCTTATACTGCTGTCTTTAGTTTATATGTAAGTTGACTTTTTAAACTTCATGATCAATTGTAAAATCTAGAAATATGCTTTATCAGTTTGATCACTGCAGGTTTCAGAATAGAATATACCAGACATAGTCCACCTTCCTTCTGTTGGAATTTGCCTCAATTCCTGTTTAGTCCCAAATTCCAGGGGACTAATTTATTTCCTAAGCCAACATCATGAAGGAAATCATCAGTGGTCTTTTGCAAATTGAAATAAATTAAGTCTTGCTTTTATTCTCTGGCAGCACATGATTATTTTCATAATGAGCATTAATGAATTATGTTCAATTTTCTTTAACAGAAACCACATTACCTTTCTCTCCAAAGCTTACTCTAGTGTTCAGTGATTCTATCTTTGCTTTTTAAAGCCCACTGATAAATGTAAAGTGAGAGTTGCAGTGTTTCTTCTTTGAAATTCTTTTAGGTGGAAATCTGTTAGCTTCTTTGGCTTTCCTCTGATGTTTTTGGTAAAATGTTCATATTTCAGAAATTCATTCTAAAAAATATATTCTCTTCATTCTTATAATCTTGTATATCTGGAGGAGGTTTTGGGTGGTAACATTTAACTTTCAAGTGATGATATTTTTTTTTCTTACAGGATTTAATTGTGATGGGAGCCCCAGGATCATCTTATTGGACTGGCTCTCTTTTTATCTACAATATAACTACAAATAAATACAAGGCATTTTTAGACAAAGGCAATCAAGTAAAATTTGGAAGTTATTTAGGTACTGTGAAAATTGACAAACTCTATCTATGCCTAAAGTTAGTAGTAAGTTCAAATAAGGAAAATTGTTCAAAAACTCTCTGAAGGACACATTCTATGAAACTTTAGTTAACTTGATGTTTTACATTGACATTGGTGACTCCAGTTGTCATGCTAGAGTTCTTAGACTACAATTCCTGGCTCTACATTAAGTGACTTTGCAATTCACTTTTGGAAACAGACTTGTACTTTTATGAGGTAAAGTGATTCGAAAGGTGGTCTCAACTGAGTGCACACTATATCCCAGAAACTTTTTGTAAGACTTGTATCTGAGTAAACTCACTTAAACATATGTATGAAAATGTAAAAGCAGTTTCTTGAAAGACCAAATGAAAGCCAACAGTACTGTCACCAGCATTTTGGATAAGGGGTGACATTATGAAGCATCATGTAAAAATTGCTCCTTAACCTTTGCCTTACGTGAGTTCTTAGATATTTTCCAGAACGTAACTATTTTTATCATTGTTCTCCCAGTGCTCGTTATTATTTCATCAGTCAGTGGTAGAACAGTTTATCATCTGTGTTTCTACAGAAATGCAAAATGTTCTGGTGTTAATTCCCATAACAGTAAAATAAATACTTTTCCTGTAGATTCTTAGAAAATAGATTTGCTTAAATTGTATATGCTTCAAATTTGAGCATTTTATACTTGGAAATAATTACAATAAAACAAGTAGTAACTAACTCTCAAACCCATTCACCAATAATTTGTCATTTTCTTATGATTGAAGGATATTGTGAAGTATTATAAGAAATGCAATTGGATATTACGCCTTTTATCACATAAAAAATCTTACCATTAGTGTTATAAATCACCACAGCAGGAAGATTTCATGGTAAAGGCTGAAATTTAGGAAGATTATTATTCAAAGCTTAAAATGTTTTATATCCTCTCCAGTAATTCAGCTATAATCCCAGAAGTTAATCTCTAAACAGAGACTAACAAACCAAATATGAAGATAATATTTTCAATTTCTAGAACTTGAAAATATAAACCATATTATTAGTTTCATAACACATATATCAAAATTGCTTAAAACATAATAAATGTTTTATTCAGCATTATGCTAAGCCTTCTTAATGTTCTGCTTAATATAGTTGTATTGAATTTGGTCTCATATTTAATTCTCTGAATTAGTGTTTATTTAACTCACTATAAATGATGATCCTCGTACTTTCTCCTGTTTCTTGAAGGATACTCAGTTGGAGCTGGTCACTTTCGGAGTCAGCATACTACTGAGGTAGTTGGAGGAGCCCCTCAACATGAGCAGATTGGTAAAGTAAGAATTCCATTTCTATCTTTATTTCTTCAAAAAGCTTCAACTGAATTGCATGAGGCAATATGATATCAAAGGAGGAATTGCAAAAATTCTAAGGAATAAAAGATTAGAAATGATGAACAGTATATTGCATTAATGGGATTTGGGAAAGAGAGATGGTTTTAGAAGAAATCTAGCAGAAAATCTTTAAAGAAAATTATGTAAGTTAAATGAGGCTTTTCTCATAAGTAAATAGTTTGTAATATAAAGTTCTTGAAAGCTGTCCAGGGAATACATTTACTGGTTAACATTTATCCAAAAGAAATGGGAGTCAGCTACATGTCCTTTGCTAAGACCAGAAGAAAGAAGAAAATGTTATTTTGATTTATTTTTGCTTCATAACTATGTGAACATTGCTCACTCAGTTTTTCTGAGTCTTAGCTTTGAACAATGAGGCAAACAATATTTTCTGTTCCTTCTATGGGATCAGTAAGATAATTTCTGGGGTCACTTTTTTTTAAGTGAGGCACATTAATGTGAAAATGGATTCCTAAACTTTTTCTTGTAGCTAAAATGTTTTTATTTATTTATTTATTTATTTATTTATTTATTTATTTATTTATTTTTATGGGTGCTGAGGATCAAACCCAGGGCCTCACATGTGCTAGGCAAGCACTCCACTCCACTGCTGAGCCACAATCCCAGCCCCTAAAATGTTTTTATAAAAATTTTGAAACTACACTTTTTTATATTTGAACAACTACATGTTATGAAAAATTGCTCTTCAAATAAGTTGCTTTTTTTAAAGAGAAACTTTGATATTAGTATAAACTTCCCTAATTCTTTCTCTAATTTTGCAGGCATATATATTCAGCATTGATGCAAAAGAGCTAAATATCTTACATGAAATGAAAGGTAAAAAGGTAATATATCTCTACCTTTGGTATACCAGGGGCTTTTTTAAGTACTTGCCTTTTTCTCAATGACTGGGTATGATTTACTTTGGGACAGCTTGGCTCATACTTTGGAGCATCTGTCTGTGCTGTGGACCTCAACGCAGATGGCTTCTCAGACCTCCTCGTGGGAGCTCCCATGCAGAGTGCCATCAGGGAGGAAGGAAGGGTGTTCGTGTACCTCAACTCTGGTTTGGTATGTATGATTGCCTGCAACTGGAAGCCACATGTGAATTACCACTGAAACTGAAACTCTTCTTATTCCAAGATTTTGAGACTGTAGATTCTTAGGCTTATTGTATTGACAAAAATAAAAAATTTTAATACTGTCTAAAAGAGAAATGGAACATGGTTCTGAGTGGCCAGCCAATTCATTTGGATACCCCAGAAATATGACATGAATCGGTATGGAATTTTTCCATTCACAGTGAACACACTGTATACTTGAAATTTCATTTAGTTTTATTTTGACACAAATCTAATTCAAAAGAATGATTTTTATATAGCCTTGAGAATGTGGACTTTTAAGTGGTTCTATAGTTAAGGTCTTTTTGATTCAAGAAATTATAAAATATTACCGGAAGTAGAAAATAAAAATTATAAGTTTTTCATGATTTGAAAACAATTAGAAATAAGATGTTTTGATACAATGTTAATGCACAATTTATGTAGATAATGTTCTTGATAAGAATTTGAAATTGTCATGATTTATTCCAAAGTGGGTATATTTTTTAAATAGATGATTAGTGACTATAGTTAAATTTTAAATCATAGGCAGTGTGTTAGAATAGAAATTGATGACTTGATGTTTAAATTTGAAGAGTTCTGCTGGTCTTATCTTGCCAGCCTTGCTTCTTGACATTAAATCAAAACAAAGAATTGATAGGGCCTTAATGGGATCTTCTTGGCCTGTTCCTTTGATTTGAAAACAAGCTCAGACTTGTGAGAAAATTGGTTCATTTCTTAGGGCACATTGTCTTTCAGTAGGATTCAAAAAAGTAAAATCTGTTTCAAGAAGGTACTTGTGCCCTTGTTTAATCAATGGCTTCATAGCACTTAATAAGTTCCTATTCTAAGTGTCAGACAAAGATCTGTGTAATTTGAGTGAAGACACTCAAGCCTTGTAAAGCTGGAGAATCTCAGAGCTCAAGATAAAGAGTAGGGAAGTTACACACTGGGATTTCATAGGCTGTGTTTAAATCTAAATTTAATAGTAAAGGCATGCCATGTATACAGTGATCATTAGAATGCATTAATAGTGACTCCAATTTTTCTTCCATAGACATTTCACATATCAATAAATGGTCTTCCTTATGCCCACTACATGTTCATGCTGCAAATGTCTCTCTTTATGACTATTTGAGGAAAATTTAAACAGTAGCTCAATACTCCTAAAATAAAGTAACATAGGAACTCTTTTCCCATTGAGATTTTAAGCAAAAATCCTTTCCTTAAAGAGCAAGGGAGGACCCGTGCCCACTAGGCCACCCTCTTACCGGAGGTCCCACTCTTGAACAATTAGTAATTGGATTTGGCTTCTAAATCCTCTTATATAGATGAGCCTACCTTTGTTACCGTCTACCCTCCTATGTCTTTGTCTGAAGTGGCACTAACCACTAAGTGGCATAACATATTTATTTATCTGGTTTGCTATTGTCTATTCTCCTGGAGTACAGACACTCTGTAGAGAGGAATTGTCTGTCTTATTTATGTGACTGTTTCCCCGGGTCCTGGAAAACTCCTAGTCAAGTAGGTACTCCAAGATTATTTTTGAAATGAACTGGAGAAAGAATGACACTCGAATGACTCTGTCTTCTACCTACTTCTACTAAAATAGCTCTTGGGTATCCCCAGAGAACTCTTGGTCACTGCTCTCTGTGACTGGAGAATACTTAAGGGTGATAGTTACTTCAGAACTGCACTGTCTTATACATGTATCTTGTCTATCCTCACTGGACCCTGTCTCCCTTCTATATAAGTTAGCATTTCCCAGGAGCAAACAGTTTTACCCCTCCTATGATTTAATCCCTCACTACTTTGATGTCAGTGATTGCATCTACAGAGATCTTTACATCCTCTTGGTTTGCTTAGAATAAAATAAATGACATTTGTGAATACCTGGAATATAACAAAGACCATAAAAAGAGCTGAGAATAATCTTAGTCCTGATGCCAGGACCTCAGGATCTGGTGAGGACATCAAACATTGGATAAACTGAGTTGAATGCAACGTGGCAGATGGCATGTTGTAAGTACAAACAAGGTGGAACAAGCGATTGATTCCCTTTTGGATCTATAATGCTTCACAGAGGAAGTAATATTTGAGCGAGACAAGAAAAGGAATTTTTCACTTAGAAACTGAAAGGTGAAGGACACATCACAAGGGGAAGATTATATGTGTTTAGGGAATGACTAATAATAGATTTGCTTGAGAAGAGGAAAGGATTTATGATGAGTGGTACATTTTTTTTTTTTTCTTGAACACAAGGGACTAGGATGATCAGAGTTTGCAAGAGGACTGGTAGCTGTTCTTACAACAGCTCATTTTTACATGTCTTACTGTAATAACTCATTTTCCAACTTCTGAAGTATCAGTTGACCAATCCATGCTCCATTGCTGCTGGGATCAGGTTCCAAAGGCCAATTTGAATCATGTCACTAAACTCAGAAACCTCCCAGTGGCTTCCTATCATTTGCTACTGTGAGAGTAAATTTTCCAACACAATCAAATTTCTATACTGTAAGGTTGAAATCTGTTGATATTTTGGTCTCATTCATTATACTATTCATTAACCAGTTATTGTAGCCAAATCCTTTGGAATTTGGGTTTTACTCATAGTTTTTTCTATACATCAAGTTTATACCTTTCTTTGGGTAGCTACTTTGCTTGCCATTGTCTTTAGGAAATCTCTTCTAGATCTTCTTTTCTTGCTGCTCATTATTGACATTCTGTGCTTGCTTCAGTTAAATGTTTTTTCTTGACTTCTTGCTATTGCAAAGCAGTTTGTATTTCCAAGTCATTTGCATGCTGCACTAAGCTCTCTGTGTAACTGTGGGTGTCTTAAGGAAAGAGAGAGCCTTTGAAACACACACTGCCTTGTCCTTTTTCACCTGTTCACTCTGTACTGTGCATTGTCTTTAGTAAGAGCTCAATAAATATTTGTTAAATTGAATTATCAAAATGATTTATTGAATTTTTAAAGCGAGGGATCATGAGTTTGACAATTTTTTATGTCCTCTGAGTTCTAATCATACTATTATATGTGTTGACATACTCAATAAATATTTATTGAATTGAACTGAGATGTGTGTACTAAAGCTCTGTCTGTAGTTTGTCCAACTTGTTTGACACATTAGAAAAAAATCCATATCCAATTATAGCAGTAAATCATGTGTTAAGTTGTCAGGGAGTGTTATGATGACACCTTTTCTCTCCCTTCCTATCTAGGGAGCAATAATGAATGAAATGGAAACAGTGCTCATTGGAAGTGACAAATATGCTGCAAGATTTGGAGAATCCATAGTTAATCTTGGCGACATTGATAATGATGGCTTTGAAGGTAATTAAAAGTATCTAATTTGGTATTTGGTTTCTACTTTCAAATAGTTCATGGGCTGGAATATGATTAGAGCATTATAGTGTTTGCCTTTCTCCTGAAAATGGAGCCAGAATGGTATGCTAAGTTTTTTTTTCTTTTCCTTTTTAGTGTTACATATGACTTCCTAATTGTCAGTTATTGATCTTTTGTTTTGGTTTGTTTTTTTTAGGGTAATGGGGATTGAATTCAGGGCGCTCAATCACTAAGCCACATCCCCAGCCCTATTTTGTATTTTATTTAGAAACAGGGTCTCACCGAGTTGCTTAGCGCCTTGCTTTTGCTGAGGCTGGCTTTGAACTTGTGATCCTCCTGCCTCAGCCTCCAGAGCCATTGGGTCAGTTATTGATCTTTACCATTATTAATGATGATATTTAAAATATTTTACTTCACTGATTCTAAGGCACCATTGATTATAAGTTGCATTATTATTTTAGCTGCCCCTGAAAAATGCTGCCTAATAAACTGAGACACCTACTACTTTTTGATTTTAAGAAAAATCTCCTGATTTCAGAAATAAAATGTGGGGGGAAAGTTGCATGATAAATCATTGGACCATGGTATTTAACACTTGGTTCAGTAAAGACACCAACCAAACCCAGCAGAGCCTGGCTGCAGGGCTGGAGCAGATCCCCCAAGGCCCTGCTATGCTGGGAATTTCCTGCTCCACTGCTGCCTTGTGGTAGGATTTGGGGAATTCCAGGAAAATGTCCTGAGCACTGGTGAGGGTCAATTGGGAGGCTTGGGGATGGCTGTTTACCAACTGCTACTGAGGTATCTCCATAATTAATTATACTCTCTTAACTGTCATGTTACTCTGTATGTCAGCCCTGTTATTGAAATATCATATTTGACTGCATAATCATCATAGCACGTTAACATATATTCACAAGTTTCTATGCATCCTAATCTTCACCAAGCACAGTTTAGTAATAAATTATTTTTTATTAAAAATAATTGCTCAGGGTTTTTTTTTTTTTTTTTAAATCACATAATGGTCATACCCCACTCTTTTGCAAAAAAAAAAAAAAAAAAAAATGGCATTAAAATGGCAAAATACAGGTACCTGCCTCCACCAGTGTTCCCTTTGCTTTGCTCTTTTCACTCTAGTACTGAGTGGTGACCAAGTCTGTAAAAATTGTGCATGCAATGATAAATGAGTTTGAAAGGAGAATGCACAGTCTCCAAGCCACTAGGTCTTTTCAGGGCTCAAGATTAAGTCTTCTTGATGTAGTCATTAACATTATTTGGTTATATGAGGCTAAAACTTGGATACTAAAAATAAGTGAGGGAGTTTAGTGTACTTACCTCAATTTTCTCTTATACATAAATGCTACTTTAAATGTTTAAATGCATAATTCTGCAAAAAAAAAAAAAAAACAGTTATTGAATACAGTATTGAGTATGCACCATAATTAATGAAAATGAAGGAAGTACTGGCACCTTTCTTATAGTTATATAATCAAATGAAAATAAGACATAAAAGTAAATCTCATTTGTGGTGGATTTAGGATCTTACTTAATAAAAATCTACAGATGATGCCATGTTAATGCACCTTACTATTTTATATGTATCATGAGATAATGATTCTTTTAAAAACAAAAACTACTTTTTAGTAAATACTAAGTTATGATTCCTCTACAGCTTATTTTAATTGGTACATTCAAGGAAGGCCACTCCCCGTTTGGAATATCCTAAAATACATAAAGAAGAAATTATGTGCATTAAAATTTCAAACCTATATTCTTATCAGAGTTGTAAAGCTATTATGGACAGTAAGCAAGTTTCCTTTTCAAAATCACCCTAGTACCTGGGAAAGTCCCAATTTCCAAGTGGTGTGAAGGACAAAGTGTTCTATTGATGAGACTTAGGAAGAGGATTTTTGAGGGGACCTTCCGAGGATAGTGCAGGTTTTCAATCTGTGTGTGAGAACCAAGGTTTCAGATGGCACTTGTTTCCTAGAGTCATGGGCTCTTTACTCCTTTTTTTTTTTTCTGGTACCAGCAATTGAACTCAGGGTCACTCGATCACTGAGCCTCATCCCCAGCCCTATTTTGTATTTTATTTAGAGACAGGGTCTCATTGAGTTGCTTAGTGCCTCGCCAGTTACTGAGGCTGGCTTTGAACTCACAAATTCTCCTGTCTCAGCTGGGATTACAGGTGTGTGCCACCAGGCCTGGCTCAGCCCTCTACTCCTAAAGGTTCCTTCTATGTCTAGAAGACTATAATTACAGTAGTTGTAATATTTCTATACTTTTTGTGCTATTTATAATCTCATTTATAACCCACAATGTATTTATCCTTACACTTTAGTGAATGTTGATAACACCTCATATCTTTTTCTACTTAGTCCAGTTGTAATTTTATTTTCTATTTTGCCCATAAGTAAGAGTTTTCTACATTTTAAATATTAGCAAGACCATGGTGATTTGGAAGTAGAGCCATTGTGTTCAAGCTCTTCATTAAAGTCTTAATTCCATTTTACCACATCTGCTTGAGAGAGACAGCAGGGAATCTACATGTTATCTTTCTTTAAAAAAAAAAATTTTTTTGTGGGTCCCAGGGATTGAACCTGGGGCCTCAAGCATGCTAGGCAAGCACTCTGCTCTGAGCTAAATCCCCAGCTCTAGACTATTTTTATATTTCCCCATCCTTTCCCCCATCTTCTATCTTACTTTTCTCTGGTAGATGCAGATCCTTTGTGTTCATGGCTGGGATTGTGAGACTGTGTAGACCGGGAATGAATACCCAACCTGTTCTTTTTTCTATCTTCTCCAGTTAAATCATACTCAATGCCCTTTGTGCAAAACTTTGTGATACTTTGCATAGAAAAACTGTTATTTTGACATTTGTCACATCATTTTTGTATTGTTCTTTAAAAGGAAAAATGTTGATGATCCTATTTCCTTAGAAAAGCAAAGCAAGCCATTTTCTAAGGAGATGACTGGTTAATTTGGAAAGTACAGTGTAAAACTTGAATCAAAAATAAAAAGTTGTGGAATAGGCGGGTACATAGATGGACAGACTGACACGACTAATAGGCAAATAGGTAACATTTTGGATCGTATAAGATAGATTTGGCAAAACTACTTATTGGTTTAAGTTTCTTTTTTTCTTTTCCCTTCACCCTGATACTCATCTGGCTTTGAGACTATTATGTTTGAGTATTTTTTAGAGTAGAACCTTATTAATATTCTCTAATTATAAGATATTGTGTTATTATTTTGTGTGCCCCTGAAATCAATATTGGCATATTATCACACCTTTCATTAAGCACTGCTTTGACACCGAGCAGAAACAGGTGCTAAGAGGGGAAACTCTGGGGCTCACCTATGCTGTATATGACCATATTGTGGTGATGGAGAGCAGGTCTCTGGAGCCAGGCTGAAAATTTTGATCCCTACAGCACTTCCTCCTGGCTCTGAACTTGAGCAAGTTATACTTGGTGCCTCAGTGTCTTCACCTGTAAAGTGTGGATTAAAAAGTTCTTATCTGATGTGGTTATTCTGTGAGTTAAATTAGTAAGTATGTATAAATCCCCAGCACCATGTCTGCATTGCAGACACTATGTAAATAGAGATGATTATGTTCATACTATTAATTGCTATGGTTTATACCAACAAAATAACTGTTCAGATGCAAAGCAAAACCAGTTATCAAACATCTCAATGTTCTGTATACTGTGTCCTAAATAGAGTTGCAAAGGCATAAAAAAAAAACATTTTTATTAAAATGTTTTATCATTCCTTAATGAAAGCTAAAACTTTAGTGCATTTTATATCATATCTATGTATAATCCTAGGAAGTAAGAATTTGAATCTGTATTAGCCAGAGATTTCATATCCCCAAATGTCCTCTGCACAGAAAGAAAATTGATCTGGGCCTTTTGTATACCTCAGCTGAAAAGGCTTGTCTGTAATCTTAATTTAGATCACTAGTACTAATAATTGATTCTGAAAGGCTTTTTGTATCACCACTTCATAAAGCAGGCTTGTTATTTTTCCTTGTGTGATGATCATAAATCAAGATATAGAATTTTATTTATGGTCTTAGGCCACATGCTGGATTATAAACCCAACCCTGACTAATGAAACTGCTGTGGCCAGAGGAACTTCTCTCCAGCCCTTCCCTTCACCTCCTTCCATTTTTCCTCCTCTTTCTCTTCCTTTTCTGCCCACTGTGTTCCTGTGTGCATCTAGTCTGTGCTAATGTGACTCCAGCTCTTCCAAACCAATTGCCATTCGTCATGTGTACCATGATGAATGCTGCCCCCCACCTTGTGTGCAGAGGCTTTTCCATCTGTCTAAACTGCATTTCCCCCTTTCTTAGCCTAGCTGTGACCTATCAATACTTAAATCTCATCTCTGGCATCATCTTCAATAAGGAGCCTTCCCTAATGTCCACCACTTTCTTGGTGTATGCTGTGTTATTGCTGTATTTTTACTTCTGTTCTCACCAGTAGACAGAGTTCCTTTTTTTTTTTTTTTTTTTTTTGCAGTTTTGCCCTGTACTGCCTGGAATACAGTAGGTGCTCAATAGTTATCCAATGAATGAATAAATTAATTGGTATATTTGTATATCAAAGTTTAAAATAGTTCATACTCATCAAAAGAGACTGGTTTTAGCATGTCTAAAAAATAAGGATCAGTGTCTACCATTTCTTTTTAGATGAAAATAGAAAAGCTTTTGCATTTAAAAAATGTACAGTATTTAACATAGTTACATATCAAATATGTTTCTATTCCCATTGAAATAGTACAAAATTACCATTCTAGTTGTTAGAAATGTTTTTGATTTGATGAACAGTAAGAAATACCACGAGAACAAGCTTTCTCTACTTTAGGTGTCAATGAAAGCTGTTAAAAACTGCATATAAGTAAATATTTGAATAAATTCAAGCAGACATCAAACTTGAGAAAGTAATGAAATGCTCTTGAAACTGTAGATTAGCATTTTCCCCCTTTCTGCTGTATATTTATAGCATGTAAACAATTGTGTCAATTGTTTGTTATTCTTGGGTCTTTTATCAGTTGACCGAATTTTTGTTCTTGGTGTCATAATCTGATGTGACTCTCAAACTCATAAAGGAGTTGCTGTCATTATTTTATAGCACAAATCCATTTATTGAAATCCTGAATATATACTTTAATCACTTTCATTGGAATTCTAATTAATTTAAAAGTAATGTTACAAATAAAACGTAGAAGCTTGAAATCAAGATTCTAGTGATTACAATATTTATAGGTTATAACAACTTATTACATAGATGCTAGTTTAAGCATTTGACACAAGCTACATACTTTTATAGTGTTGCTTTCATGTTGATCCCATTCTTTAGGTGGGGAGCCAAGACATGGAAGCTGAGAAATGAGCAGAGCTTAGTACAGAAGTGCATTTTTGAATATTTGTTGGACTCCTGGGGTCTGACTATGGGGCAGACATCCTTAGCTTCTTTGTGAAGAGAGTCTCTCAGACCTGTCTCCTCTGCTTTCTTCCATGCAAAGACTATTCTGTGTAACCTTGTACATTATGATGATAATAGGTTTTTTTTTTTTTTTTTTTTTTTTTGAGAAGAGTGTTCTAAGAGAGAGCTTTCTTATGTCACGAATTGGGGATCATGAAGGTTAGTTTTCAAAGATAATTCTTTCTTTCAAGAATTTATTTTCCCACTGCTTCCATCCTTGAATAGATGTTGCTATTGGGGCTCCCCAAGAAGATGACTTGCGAGGTGCTATTTACATTTACAATGGCCGAGTAGACGGGATCTCAGCAAGCTTCTCACAGGTAAGATACTATTCTGTGTTCAAAAGAAGCATCGTGACAAAGGTGCTCTGAACATTTACAGTGTTTTCATAGACTTATTTTTTTTTTTTACTTTCTTTCAAATGCATTTTATTTCATTTTATGTCACCATTTTCTTATAGTAATGATAAAAGGTCTTATTGCAAGGGATTAATAACCCTTTAAAGCCATTTTTTCCCCATAAATAAGAGTTCTAGTTCACTTCCATTCTAGCTTGTCTTTAGTCTATTAAAGATTTATTTCTGCATTTCATCAAGTTTGTGTTGTTCAGGAAATACCACACTATTCTGAAATATGCCCATTTGGGTTTGATTAACTGTCTTTTCCTTGTGACTAACGCCTCATATTTCGTGAAAATTGTGCATGGGGATCAGACATGCATATGATACTGTGTTTCTTTCAGTGTAGAGTAGTAAGATGATAGCATTTTAATGAATGTTCATGGTTGAACTCTGATCTTACTTTTATATCTTGAAAAATCAGGGCACTTCAGTGCATAGAAAAGACTACAATCACAGGCAAAGAAGCAGTTTCTCCAAAGACATTTTATGGAAACATTAGCTAGTACTGTTATGTTTGCTTTGGCAAAAATAGGCATGTACATCTGTATTTTTAACCTGAATGACATGTTCTTGCCCAGGAGCAGATCCTGATTTTGCTTAGTAGGAAGAACAGCCTGATATTTCCAAATACTATCTGAATGTGAATTAGATATGGAATAGAAGGCAGATAACTCACTTGGTCTGTTCTTTTCAAATGCTAGGGAGCAATCTGGCTTCATAAGTAGCCTTTCATCTTATGGCTGAGTAGTAGGGTCCACTATGTGATTATAGATATTTTATTTTCCAAATACGTTGTTTAGCTATTTGTGTTGGTTAAAGAAGTAAATACAGAACCTGAAAAAAAAAATTGAGGAAAAGGAATAAAAATAGTTTTGGAAAAATCTGTGCCATATGATTTTCCCTTTGTTCACCAAGAACTTTAATTTTAAAGTCACAATATAGATGTTAACTGCTTTTTTCAAGGTAGAAAATTTTGCCTCTTTTACAAGCATTTAACTAGAATACATTTGTTAGTCAATGTGCCAGGAATCATCTGGTAAGACTTACGATTTAGCTAAATCATTGCTTCTCTGGAATAGTAGGTATTCAAAAACTATTTCCTATGCAACTTGCCTATTTTTCAGAGAATTGAAGGACTTCAAATCAGTAAATCATTAAGTATGTTTGGACAGTCTATATCAGGACAAATTGATGCAGATAATAATGGATACATGGGTGAGTATAAAATCATCATATTTTATAAACTGGAGTAAACTTTATTGTGGATACTGCTTTGTTGTGGAGAACTATTGTGGGAGATGTCAATTTACTGATTATTTTTTCTTATGTTTTTAAAACTTTCTTAAATTCAAGGTTGGGTCAGAAATAATCAAGTAATTTCTCAGCTTTATACTGTTAGTTCCTTAATATTACATGCCTGTTCTTGAAAAAATGAAGTACCCGTGACAATAAATCAAACATACAATAATGAAAAGAAATTTCTGGATGAATATTTGTAGCCTAAAAATCACATTTTTAGCATGAGTATCTTTATAAGTTTATATTATAAAGTTATATTAGCAAGGAATGAATGCTGTTTTAAGTGAATAGATTCAGACAAATGTACAATGAATCTCAAGGTCTTTTCCAATTAATTTACAGAAGTAAATAGTGTTTTGATAAAGTCCAAAGGTGATGTGCAGTTAAGTATTTATGGCTGAAAAGTAATTCTCTTTGAGTAATGACGATCATTAATCTGGGTGGCTGTTTGTTATCCTCCAGATGTGGCAGTTGGTGCTTTTCGGTCTGATTCTGCTGTGTTGCTAAGGTAAGGTGGATACATTTCATTGCTTAATGACAATTGGGCTTAATTGTAAATGATGGGAGACAGTTTTTAAAAACAGCAGTGATAGTGGCCTCACGATGCTCTTTTTGGTATCCTGAAATTTAATTATTGAACTTTAGTGTATGTTTCCCACCTTGCATAGACATAATTAAACAAATCATTGAAGTCAGTGTTTTTAGACATTTAAATGAAAATTTCTCTTGATCTGTGCACAGACATTGAGTTGAGTACATACACACATACTGGTAACAGAGCAGATTAATGATATTTCTTAGTCAATGAAAACTGACAATAAGTGCAATTATCTTCCTAAGGAAAAATAATTCTGCAACTAAAATTGCTTATTTTATTTCCTCCTTAGGACAAGACCTGTTGTGATTGTTGAAGCATCTTTAAGCCACCCTGAGTCAGTAAACAGAACGAGATTTGACTGTGTTGAAAATGGATTGCCCTCTGTGTGCATGGATCTAACACTTTGTTTCTCATATAAGGGCAAAGAAGTTTCAGGTTACATTGGTAAGTGTAGTCTGCACAAATAATGCCTGACAATATTCAGTTCACTGATTAATATTACAGTCATCTTTTGAGCCCTCACTCTTTGTCACTATGAAGATCTTCTTTAGAGTAGAAAAGAGCAGCAATTGTTGTGCACCTATCTTGCATGATTTTCAAGTTGTTCTAACCAAGGAGTAGGGCACATTGAAAAGCTGTAGTTGTTTAGAAGTTGTGGCACGGATCAGAGCAAGAGTGTTGCTAACTGTACTAGTTAAAAGTAAACCCCCTGAGCTTAATCTGTGAAATCTCTCTAAGATAGAGGGAGAATCATTATAGCTCCTCTGATTTACTGAGCTCCTTATGTTTTGGTACCAGAGATCAAACTCCCTCTCATGGGTGCTAGGCAAGTGCTATCGCTCCCTACTGAACTCTTTAAAACCTGGAGCTGGCTTAAGCTGGAAGGCCCAAGAGGGAGAAGTTTCCTTTTTAAATTTGTCCTGTTAAAGCAGTATGGAGATTTCTTGGAAAGCTGGGAATGGAGCCACCATTTGACCCAGCTATTCCCCTTCTTGGTCTATTCCCTAAAGACCTAAAAAGTGCATGCTACAGGGACACTGCTACATCGATGTTCATAGCAGCTCAATTCACAATAGCAAGACTGTGGAACCAACCCAGATGCCCTTCAATAGACGAATGGATTAAAAAAATGTGGCATTTATACACAATGGAGTATTACTCTGCATTAAAAAATGACAAAATCATAGAATTTGCAGGGAAATGGATGGCACTAGAGCAGATTATGCTAAGTGAAGCTAGCCAATCCCTAAAAAACAAATGCCAAATGTCTTCTTTGATATAAGGAGAGTAACTAAGAACAGAGTAGGGACAAAAGCATGAGAAGAAGATTAACATTAAACAGAGATGAGAGGTGGGAGGGAAAGGGAGAGAAAAGGGAAATTGCATGGAAATGGAAGGAGACCCTCAGGGTTATACAAAAGAACATACAAGAGGAAATGAGGGGAAAGGGAAAAATAATACAAGGGGGAGAAATGAAGGTCAGTAGAGGGGGTAGAGAGAGAAGAGGGGAGGGGAGGGGAGGGGGGATAGTAGAGGATAGGAAAGGTAGCAGAACACGACAGTCACTAGTATGGCAATATGTAAATCAATGGATGTGTAATTGATGTGATTCTGCAATCTGTATATGGGCTAAAAATGGGAGTTCATAACCCACTTGAAGCAAAGTGTGAAAGATGATATATCAAGAACTATGTAATGTTTTGAACAACCAACAATAAAAAAAAATAAATAAAATAAAATAAATTTGTCCTGTTGAAGAAGCTTATCTGGAGTCTAGATTCTGATTGTAATTGATAAATCTATAGATACAGAGATCTTAATGATTTACTAGTGCCATCAGCTTTTGAGAACCATGCACGTTTCCATATATATATATTTCATTTCCATAGCGAAAGTTGCCTCTTTCTATGTATATGTGTATATATAGAAGAGAGAGGCCACTTTTAGTTGTCAGCTCTGAAGAAAGTAGCGCTGATATTCTTCCAGAGCAAGGTTGTCTGTAAACGCCAAAGCAAGTACTGATGGATATCCTCTGTCATCTGTTCTTCACAATCATGCTGGAAGGATTTCATACAAATTGTTTAGAATAGCGGCATGAATTTATTAGAAGGGACAGCAAAAGGGAAAAATTACTCTCAAAGGAAAAAGGGTCCTCTCAGAGGGAAGAGGGTTGGTGGTTTCTCCTGTCCCACTGTTTTATTGGGACTCCCAGGGAAGTTTCCACAGTCTTGCCCAGAGGCACCTTTTGACTTTTGACTGACAGCAGGATTGCAGTAGACTTACTAATAGTCCCCACTGTGTGCGGGCCTACTTCAGGGAGGGGAGATTTTACTGTCATAATGACATGCTAAAGATGCAAGCCTGGGTCACCTGCCCCATGCTGACCAATTCTAATTGAAACTTGTTCTTACAGATTCTATGGTTGTGGGGGCTTTGCTCTTAATTATCTTGTCTCCCCAGTACTGGAATCTGGTCTCTGTGTAGGTACCAAAAGTACCCCCTGCAGAGTACCTTGTGTTCTTATCAGCAGGGAGGAGCCTTTCAGCTTGCATTTCTATGTAGAAAACAGGTGGTTTGCTTAGGAATGTAGCCTATCTTATTGACTTCAGTCAGGCTGGGCAGAGTGGCTTCAGGCAAGTTGCCTTCAAAAGAAAGCATGTGGGGGTTAGTACCATAGGCCCAGTTTACAGAGCCATCCTGCCAACCTCCTGTGCTGATTGCTTATGTCAGCCTGTCACCTATCAATATGATTCATCCAAAATTGTGGTTAATCCATATATATATGTGTGTGTGTATACACACACACACACACACACACACACACACACACACACACATATATATATATATATATATATATATATATATATATATATATATATATATAAAACTTTGTAAGTATCATATTTTTGTCAGCAGATGAATGTCCCTTATTATGTTTTATTTAAGGTAGTATTAGAATAACAGCTAGTGGAAACAACCCATGGTGGAAGATAAGTATTCCTGGGTTGTTCATCATTTGGATATTAACAATTCACAGAAGTTCTGGTCTCCAGGAGACTTATAGTGATTGTACTTATGGCCCTGCAGACCACTCTCATACAAATATCAGCAAGGGCTGCAAACATTTAGTGAGCCAAACTATCAATGTATAATAGAGATCTCCATCTGAATCAGCTTATAATAAGATGTACAGAATAAGCCTGGTATCTCTACTTCATCAGACTCATTTTAAATAGTGGTCTGGAAGATTCTGGCCAAGCTTCACTATCAAGGAGGTGTGCAAAACCTTCATCTGGTTATTGATCGAAGAACTGGCACCTTCAGAGCATGGCCCCAAGTGAACTACACATTAGCATAGACAAATGGATAGATTATCTGAAAGAAGCACATTGAATGGATAGGGTTGTTTCCCTTACACAAAATCAGTGTTCCTGTGCCACCAATTCCGGTGCACTAGGTAGTTTGAAAAAACGGTTGAAAACAAGTACACGAAACTCATAAATAATTATAGCACTGTTGCAGAAGCCTGCTTTATAGTTGTCATAAATGACTCCTTGGGGCAGATAATTCACATTGTAATCATCTTTAATAAAACCAGGACATTTTGCCTCTTACAGGAGTAGGTTTTAATTCTCCCCTTTTTCATTTTTTTCTGAACTCTGGGAGATGAATTTGTAGATGGCTATTTCAATTGCAGCTCTCTTGTTCTTTGAGTTATTGAACCTCAGTTATTGTAATTTTGAAGTCAATTGACTTGTACTTTATTATTTCTTAAGTAAAAGGATGGTTGAAAGATTTATTTGAAATGTGTAAGAGTACTATAGAGTTAATGTTTATGTTTCCTTGAAATAAGTAGGTGCAGTCTTTCTAGAAGAGTAAATTACTCCTAGTAAGTTACTTCTAGAAGAGTAAATAATTCCAGGAAATATATATTTTATAAATGCCACTTGTGAATTATTGTTCCTGTGTAATGAATGACACCTCAGCAGACTACTAGATTTAGCTTAGTTTGTGAAGAATTCACTTATAAGTTCAGGATATGTGAACAAAAGGGAATCCAGAAGTTTTACTCACTTTTACTATTAGTAACAATTTCGGTATTGTACTTTTGAAACTTTTATAAGTAGGAGGAATAAGAAAATAACTAAAGAAGCTGATATTGTTAATAATAGAAACCTAGAAAGAAGTTTACAAAATGTTTTTATGGAATTAATTTTTGAAATTTATATTTTTAGTTGTTCCTTCTTTCATATTTCATTTAGTTTTTAAAAAGCTATCTAATGAAGTGAATTTAAAGTGCTTCCAGTATTTTATATAACTTTTTCCTCAAAAATAAAATAAATGTATTTAGATAGTTCCTTAAATTGATTGCAGTTCTTGACGTGTTTTTCAGTTTTGTTTTATAACATGAGTTTGGATGTGAACAGAAAGGCAGAGACTCCATCCAGATTTTACTTCTCTGCTAATGGAACTTCTGACGTGATCACAGGAAGCATTCAAGTATCGAGCAAAAGAGCTAATTGCAGGACACATCAAGCATTTATGCGGGTAATTATTTTTTATTAATGAAAATGTAAACTTCAGAACTGTCCATAGAGATCTATTGCATTTGGTATCTTCTTATAAAATATAGTTAAAAGTTAATGCTCTCTCCTCCTGAGCTGTGGCCTATTGTTCCAGTTGAAGTATTAGTCCCAACCTGAATGGTTCAAAGTTCACTTTTTGCAGCATCTTTATGTCACATTTCTTACACCGCATTATTATTTCGAAATATATGCCTTTTTCTTTCCACAATTGCTATTTTTCCCATCTCTGTTTATTCACTTGTTCAGAAATGTACAGACCAAGTAGTTTTGCAGAGCCCCAGATCTATTTGGTGGCAGGTTTTTTAGGGGTGGGGGAGGTGGGGAAGTGGTTTGTTTTTCTTATGACTCCAGCAAAGCAGAATCCAACATGACTGCTTTTGGATGATGCGCCTGTTTCCACGCCAGCTTTGTCAGTGGTGTCAGTGGGAACTTGCACAGTTGTGGCACGGTAGGGATCATCTGTGGGCCAGGATGACAGCTCTCATGATGGTTTGGGGTATGTCCTGCCAAAGCACAGCCGATTTCATGTTTCTTTTATTAAAACACTCATTCCCAAACTGATCATCACACTCCTCACATTGGTCAAATTTTAGCATATGAAGCAGTGCCCAGTCTTTTTCATTAGGGAATGGTGTACTTCATCAGAAATCTATTGTCCTCCCCAAAGCCAAACTATTCCCCAGAGCTCTTTCTGGGATTTCAAATAGTAGCCTCAGCTTAGAACTTAATTTTCCCTTGGATACTTATTCCAAGCAAATGCAAACAAGCATCAAGACTCCAATACACTGTTCAGTACTAACAGCAATAATCCCTGTGCTGTTTCCTCATTTCCCTTAACGGTTTTTATTGTTTTACTAGAAAAGAGCTATTAGATGGTTCAGAGCCAGAAGTACAGAATGATATTAATGTAACCATCATTTATATGGTAGGAGAGGTTTTTTTTTCCTTTGGCATCCTTCATAGATGTGATTTTACTTAACATTAGTCAATTGTAGAGACAACTGCTGAGACTATTTTAAAGATGATTAAAGGTCCAACATTAAATGTTCACAAAAATGCACATCGTGCTAAGTTGTAAAAATGGCAGCCAGTTGACTCTGGTTTACTCGGCCCTCGGTTTCTTGGCATCATTCATATGAATAAGGAATAATCCATGTTGTACACATTTTTCATAATAAATTTATAATAGAAATTATAATTTACTTCAAGTTTTTCCATTTTGTGGCACATATACTTATAGTATTATGGGGGGTTCATAGGAGACTGAATCAGTCATTGGGGGCTATGTCGTGAATGTTAGTCAATGGTATTTAGTGCTGGTACTTATAATAAGCAAGGACTTTTTAAAAAAAAGTGTTTCTTCTAGTATCATTTTACCTTCCCACCTTACTTTATCTTTGGTTGAAATACTTTTAAAACTTCCTTATAGAAAGACAAAAAGTCTACTTCAACCCTTTCATCTGCAGCCAGCCAAAGGAGGATGTAGGAACCAGACTTAGTTGCCCCAGTCTTGAGTTCTGTAAGGAGCTCTAGCTGCTACCAGGAAGGTGTGCAACTGTTAAGAGTTATACTTTCCCATCTCCACCAGCATGGCAGAGGCATTAGGAAGCACTCCTGTGCTTCTGTATATGAAAGCACAGGATGGCTACCTGGATTCTTCTATGTTCTTAATAGTAATAGAAAAAGAAGTTGGATAGTGGTCAGTTTATCCGGGTGGTTCCTGTGTTCCATAAAACATGCCCAGTATCAGATGTTAATATGCATATGCATTTTAACTCAGCACCTCTTACAGTGAAATGAGGTGGCACTTGCTAATCATATACTCAGGGCTCCAACCCCCAACTCTCAGCGGAATCCCCTATTTACTGGTTGAGCATGCTTTACTTATGATTGCCCCTACTGTGCATACCAATTAAGCTCAACTTTTATATTCCCCCAATTCTATAGATATTTACTAAAAACTTACGTTGTGTCACAGTCTGAGACATTTACGTATTGCCAATGAATGAAACATAAAAAGATTGTTACCTCCAAGGGGTTTAGTCAGGTGAGATGGGACAATAACATGATAATAAAGGAAATGGAAGTGAAGAGAATGAAACAGAGGAAGAGGGCGTGATGGCATTTTCAGAGATGCTGCTTGGTAGAATAAGATGAGGCCTGAGAACTTATCATTGGGTTTAGCAATGTAGAGGCTCTGGGTGATTATGATAAAAGCATTTCAGAAGGGTAGCAGGGGGAAAGAAGGAAAGGAATGAGAAAAAATTACAAGTTATTCTTTCAAGAAGTTTTGCTCCAAAGGTGACCAAGGAAACCGGTTACATCTTGACCTTTCCAATAGTGGAAAAAAGCAAGTAGAGTGAAAAGCTGTTTTTTCCCCCTTTAAGAGATGAAAAATAACATGTTTGTTCCAATAGGCATGCTCCAATAGAATGAAAATAGTTGGAACAAAATTTTTGAGAACGTAAGAGGGGTGAGGTTAATTGCATAAAATGAGAGACCAGCTATCTACATAGACACATGCGTATTTCTATTTATGTGCCAGCAGATGCTGGGCAGATGTGGAGCTAAGGGCTGGAGGTTCTCATACTCTCATTGAAGTGAGAAGTAAAGGCATCATCTTGTGTAGGGGTGGGGTAATTGGTGTTTGGAGTGTGGGAAGAAGAAATACTCTGGGAGAATGGTATAGTTGTCCGATGGTGCTGAGCTCACAGTCACAGTGGCTAGTCAGTATGGCTGGGGTTTCTTTCCCATTACACAGGAGGTAGATGAAGAGTTTGAATTAGCCAGGGCTGTGGCTTTGCCAGGAGAGTGAAGCAAATGAGAGACAAATGAGTTGAGGGAGTGTGACAGAGAATGGTCATATCTGGGGTCATGACATTTCATCAGGGTAAAAAGGGAAGGAAGACATCAAGAGGCTGAGAAAATAGGAGAATAATTGATTTGGAGAGTCACTCACTGCCTCCCCCCCGCCCCCCAACTCCCAAGGGATCAGCTAATTGTTGGAATTGAGGGAAGTTAGTTGGAAAGATAAATAATACAATACATAAAAAACCTTGGAGACTTGAAAGTGATAAAAAGATTGATTTAAAAAAATGTTTTGTTCATAATTCTTTGATCATTTCATGCAAATGGAAGTCTTTCAACTCACTTATATATTTTTTAAAACCCATTGTATTATTTGATGATGAAGAATTTGGCTGTAGATCTTATTATAAAACTTGAGCTTTTGTTAAATATTTCTTTTAATCACATATTCTCTAGTTTCATGTTAGAATTTCTTGGAAAACAAGTGACAGTTTGAACAATCTAGTAAGTATTTACATCACTAACATGTACATCTTCTGACATGTTATTTTTCAAGGCCTATGTGCTCATTTATCTAGTTGGCAGGCACATTTATTTTCCCATCTACTTTTAATTATAACAGTATCAAATAGGATTATTTTACATGGTCAAAATTTGTTCTTCATAAAGTAGAAGAGAAAGAAGAAATTGTTTTTTTATTGAAAAAGTTTTGCTTAAAAAATACTCCATTGTGGAAGTTTTACATAGCATAATTTCATTCACCTTTATGACTATTTGCCAGTAAATGGATGGAACTGTAGAACATCATGGTAAGTGAATTAAGTAAGACTGAAAATTGAAGGCCATCTATGTGTTTTCTCACATGGAAGGCAGCAAGAGTTAACGTAAAAAAGGAATTTCCATGAAAATGGAAGGAAGACCTAAAGAGTAGAGGATAGAGATTGGGGTGAGGAGAAGGAGGGCAATGGAATTGACCAAATTTCATTATGTGCATGTCTGAATATATCACAATAAATCCCACTACTTTCTATAATTATGCTGCACAAAAAAATTAAAAATTCATCATAGTTTAGTTGCTTACAATTATATTGAGCTTTGAATTTTTAAAAAATTTTATTTGTTCTTTTTAGTTACACATGAAAGTAGTATATTTTTAAATGTATTTATATAAACATGGAGTACATCTTATTCTAATTAGGATCTCAGTCTTGAGACTGAGACTTGTGGATGTACACAATGTTGAGATTCACTCTGGTGTATTCATATATGTACATAGGAAAGTTATGTCAGATTCATCCCACTGCCTTTTCTATTCCCATCTCTCCTCCTTTTCCTTCATTCCCCTTTGTCTAACCCAATGAAGTTCTATTCTTCCCTTACCATCCCTCTTGTTGTGTGTTAGCATCTAACTATCAGAACATTCAGCCTTTGTTTTTTGAAGATTGGTTTATTTCACTTTGCATGATAATCTCCAGCTCCATCCATTTATCAGCAAATGCCATAAAAATTCCATTCTTCTTTATGGCCGAGTAATATTTCACTGTATATATAAACCACATTTTCTTTATCCATTCATCTGTACCTAGGTTGGTTCCATAGCTTAGCTGTTATGAATTGAGCTTTCATAAAAATTGATATGGCCACATTACATTACTGTTGTATGCCAAGTTTTAAGAAGAGCTTCCCTGTCTTGTTCCAATTTTTAGATGAAATGCTTTCAACTTTTTTTCCATTTAGAATGATGATGGCCTTGGGTTTAGCATTTATAGCTTTTAAAATGTTGAGGTATGTTCCTAACTCTGTAGCCTAGTTTTTCTAGTGTTTTGGACATGAATGGATGCTGTATTTTTTCAAATGCTTTTTCTACATCTGTTGAAATAAATCATGTGATTCTTGCCTTGAAGTCTACTAATGTAATGAGTTACATTTATCAATTTCCATATGTTGAACTAAACTTGCATCCTTGGGATGAATCCCACTTGATCATGGTGCTTATTATTATTATTATTGTTATTATTTGTTCTAATAAGTTGTACATGACAGCAGAATGCATTTTGACTCACTGTACACAAATGGAGCACAACTTTCATTTTTCTAGTTGTACACTAGATGCAGAGTCACACCATTTTTGCAGTCATACATGTACATAGGGTA